GTGTGCCCTGGTGCGAGGGCCCTGCCAGTGGTGCGAGGGCCCAGGAGTGATGAGGAGGGTAAGGGAGAGCACGCTGCGGCCCGAGGGGAGTTGCCCTCTATTCACCGAGCACCTGAGCCAGGCTTCATGCTCAGCACTTTACATACTTGACTCTCACTGAATTTGCATACCAGCTCTGAGAACTCTGTGCTGTCACCTCCATTTTACAGAGGAAGAGCAGGAAACTAGGCCACCAGAAGTTGGAATGACCTGCTTAACGCTGTGCCTCATGCACGCTTGGTGCCAGAGCCGATACCTTGCTGCACGAAGTTAGTTTAATCAGCTTTTTGACAGAAGCTATTTACATCAAGGGAAAAAAGAGCCACTTAGAACAGTCTAGTTCAGCCGCCCCATTTACATAATATTTTTATAAGCACGGTCTTAATTTTTCCAGTATGCTGATGAGGTAGATGGCCTTATTATCCCTATTTTGCATGTCTTCATCTGTGTGACACTGTGGTGATTGATGCTGGTTATGATGACTTGGAGCAGGGGTGGGAACTGAGGGCCTTTTGGATAGCATCATTCTCGAGCCATACAAAACTACCAGCTTAAGAATGAACCTGCTATATTTGGTCAAACATTTAATTAACCAAATGATTTTGTGGGCCTTATATGGCCCACAGGCTGGATGTTCCCCATCCCTGAGTCTTGGAGGAATCTTGGAATATTAATGTAAAGAACAGTGCCTGGTTATGTGAACTCTGTTTTTAGTTCAGCATTTGAGTGTTTTGTTGATGTTCCCATGGAAGAGATTGTTCTCTTCCAATTTTTTAAAGTAAGCTTGCTACATTCACAGCTATATATTTTTTCTCATGAGGGCTCCCAGTACCATATGTTTCTCAGTGGACAGATCTTAAAATAGATGTTAGTTATTTGGAGGATGCTTCAAACATAGCATGACATATTAATTTGCAAAGTTAGGAACCTAAAACGGGATTGGGAGTTGCAGCTAATTAGCTCCATGACCTTGAGTAAGGCCTTGACCTTTGGGGACCCACTTTCTTCATCTTAACTATATGGAGAGTAGAGGCTAGGTGCACGAATTTATGCATGGGTGGGGTCTGGCTGGCCCACCCCGATTAAGGTGGGGGGGGGGCCAGTCGGGGGCAGGTCTGGCCAGGGGGAGGGGCCACTGGCAGTTGGACAGCCAGCCCTGCGCCCTGGTTGAACTCCTGGTCAAACTCCCAGATGAACTCCTGGTCGAGAGGACAATTTGCACATTATCCTATTATTATATAGGATTATCCTATTATTATATAGGATGGGATGGTCAGTAAGGATATGTTAAAATTTCAGTTATCTCTTTTGAAAAAGTGAACCTAGTTCTTGACATTTTTATTAATAACATAACATTTACAGATGTCAATTCTTGTTATAAATATAGGATCAATATGTAAATTTTACCAGCACTGAGAGACAGGTGAGAAGCTATTGGAAAACAGCTATAAACTTTCCTCTGTGACAAGGGAACTTGATATATTTAGTCTTAGGGCCTAGGTTATGTTTATATCAGATAACTAAATCTAAAAAATTTAGTATTGCAAGCCATTGCTTTCTTGCTTTCTTAATTTCTTGCTTGCATTCTTAATTTCGTTCTTTCTTTTTAAATAATTTAGTTAGAAAGCCATTAGGAAGGTCTGAATAAGAAATCCCAGAGAGGCCAATGAGCAAATATATTGAAGGGAGCCAGACTCATGCTGTCAGCGAAAAAAGTTACATATATAAAAAGGGAGAAAGCTAGAGTGAGCCTTGTGCCATGAACTGGGATTTGAGGTATTGGTCTGAACTCAAGAATTTCAATATGGAAAAATAATATAAATAAAATTTCAACATAGAAACAAACAGAAATGTGATAGTATATGTGTATATGTGAATATGTACGTACATCTATATACACAAACACACAAATGAAATATATTTCCTAACTCTGCTTACTGAAAGGGCCAGGATGTGGTGACATCCCAGTGAATATAAGCACATTTGTGGTCCAGATCTTAGTCTCTAAATACCAGTCTTTGCTAAAAGGAACCATAGATCTTTGAAAAATTTTCTGGTTCTAGGGCTGGGAGAGAGAAGGTACAAAATGAGTTTTGGAAACCTTGTGCAAAAAAATATAGATGCTTTCAAAGAATGATGGGAAGATGCCAAAAAAACAGCAGCCAGCTTGAAGGAATTCCCATTAGGCAAGCCTGGGAGTATCTAAACATCAAAACAATAGTGATATTATAGTCTATCCACTAAATAAACCAGGCATCCATGGGGCCATACTGATACAAATAAATGCATGAATAAGTGGGGGGAGGGGAGGAGGGAGAGAAAGTTTTTTTCCTTAAAATAGGATGCTGTCTGTTAAATGGAAAGAATTTGGAGATTAGAAAGATAATTTGGCAATTGTCATTATAATTCAGGTAAGAAATGTCAGTGGATGCTAAACCTAGTCAGTGAAAGTTGGGTGAGGATTAGAATATTTGCATAATCACAAAGTATCTGTCCACAACCCTTATTATCCAGGGCAATACAGTAACGCTACTGGAGAAACTTGGAAGATTCGACCTTAGTCAAGTGATTAAAGTTACTGTCACCAGTGACGTGACAAGCTGACATCATGTGTCACTTGATGGGATGTAATTAGAAGCTCACAGCATTAGTTCACAAAAATGTAACTCTTGAATTTTCTCATGAGAAAACCTGGCTAGTACCAGTGATGGGCATTCTGCGAAATAGTTAACTAGCAGCCTTCAATAGTGTAAGCGCAGGGAAGTGAAGGAAGAGCTGGTCTTGCTCCAGATACAATGAGACTGAAGAGAGGACGACAAAGTACAAAGTGTGACCCTGGGCCAGATGTTTGGCTAGAATGACCATTATTAAGTGGTGGGCTCAGCTGGAATGGAATGTGTGGGTGAAGAGAACATGGACATTTTTTTGAGCAATTCCTACAACTTTCCTGCAAGTTTGAAATTCTTTTGAAATAAAAAGTTAAATATTAGTACAGGATTGCCTACCTTTTAGTTTTTTTACTCTAGGCTACAAGTTAAAAGAAATAGTTTCTGAAATGTATTTTATTTTTTATTTTATTTGCATAAGAACCCTATGGAGTTTAACCATTCAATCAAACTTAATAGTTCTGGATTTTTGTGAAATTGTTGTATAGAGAATATAATGCCATGAAATAAGGGCTTTGCTGGGTGTGTAGTATAATTTGTATACCTATACAAATGCACTCAAAATCAGAACATTAGAGTGTCTTAGAGTTGACACAAAGTCATAATGATGGTGAGGCATTTTATATTAAAGGGATTATGAGTGAGTATTCTGGACTCAGACTACTTGAAGTCAAATCCTACCTCTGCCAGTTACTAACTGTGTGACATTGAGCAAGTGAACTAACTTTTCTGGTTCTCATCTTGTTAGTAAAATAGGACCTATGTCATGGAGTTATTGTAAGGATCATGTTACTATTACCAGTAAAGTGTTTAATGAATATTAAAGTGTTTATTGTTGAATGCTACTATTGTTACTGCTATCACAATATCTATAATTTATGTAAAGACTAGAGAAGTTTGTTAAAAGTTATGCCATTTGTTAGTTGAACATTTGTTCCCTCTTCACATAGGTGGATACTAACATCTTGTACGGATCCCTTATGATGCTTCTTTGATCCCCAAAGCCAGCCCCTGCCCTTAGGATTTCTTTACTGTTTTACAAGGGGGAGGCAACACATTTTAAATGTTTAGAAAACAAAGTGGAAAATCAGAGAATCAAGATAAAAAATATTTTCTTTGGCAGAAATACCTAGGAGATATAATGACTGCAGGTCTTATTTCAGGTTCACATATTGAATCTCAACATGTCTACATATTTGCAAATGTAAGTAAATTTATTCACCGAATGGAGCCAGCTCACACAAAATATCCCCGAATGGAGCGGACTGTACTGCTAGGCAGTATTGTCCGTAACGTCCTCTGCATCCTGCCACCTGCCCCAGGCTCTTAAGGACTCCCTGTCCTCAAAAGGTTTCTAGTCAAGTTCATGACATATTATACATAATGCTTAAGAGAATTAAGTATTATGCAGTTTTATTTATTTGTGCTCTGCTTCTTTTCTAAAAAAGTTTGAAAAACGACAACAATAAAAATTAAAAATAAACAAAAAAATTGTCTAGTAACCTATTAAGTGCCAAATTATCCAGGATAGACCAGCATTAGCAAAGTATACAATGAAAGAAGAGATCAATTGGCAGAGTAAGAGGAGAGAGACCCTGAGCAGTGCCTACAGGAATGAGTAATGAATGCCTGATCAGATAGATGAAAACATGTTGCAATGGAAGAAGTGAGAGCTTCACAGAATATATGCATTTTTCTCATTGCCAGGGAATTTTAGAGCTATACACACATTAGTGATCAACTAGTTGAGTAAATCAGGCACAACACATAGCCCATTCGTTGCAGTTCTGCTTAAAATTTAAACCCACTTTTCCTCCACTTAATTCAGCCTCTTTATAACTCATTTTGACTTGTAATATTTAAAATTTTGGATCACACTTGTATATTTTGAGAAAGACAAGTAACCACAGGAGAGTAAATCAACTAGAATTCCTCATACCTTCTAGGCTTTAAGAGTCTTTGGAGTATTGTACCTGGATGCATGTCAAGGCAGTACATGTAGTGATTAAGAACTCAGGACCTACAACCAGAATCCCCAGGTTCAAATCCTGGCTCTGATATGTATGAGCTGCTATATTTTTTTCATAGTGTTGGAAGAAGAAGCAAATGAGTTTACATGTGCAAAAGTACCTACTACATAGGAAGCTTTCAAAAAATGTTAACATAATTAGTATATATTTGTCAAATATGTAGAAATTAAACACATTAATACTTTTTGAAGACTTGGTAGTAGCTATACAACACTTTCCCCCGCTTCCCATAATGCTCTAATAAATCATTGGCTTTTGTCCACAGGTACTAGCATCTTGTGGCATTATTCCAAGTTTATATTCCATGGAGATCTAGATCTTGATTTGGAAATTTATGACAAAATGTTCAGCGTCTGACTTGACATCAGCATTACCAATAAAGGTAAGTTAATTTAATTCATTTCAAGGCATAGAAAATAACTATTAATATGTTTTGATCTAACATATCAAATTAGATTCTGTTTTTTTTTTTAAATGTTGAAAGAATTATAAAAACCAATTTAAAAAATAAGACATATGAATACCTTGTTTTCTCTTAAGGTTATGAAAAATTTCATACAAGGCATCTTCCTATCAATCTTTGAAGTCTCCGGTACTTAGTTGTTGGAATAATGTAAATATGAGGAGACCACAGATACTAAACTAAGAAGCTGCTTACTGCATGACTTACACAGTGATAAGCTGACTAGGAGAACCTTGAAGATGCAGCCATGGCTGTACACAGTAGCAGGAAGCGAGAGGAGAGCCTCTCACACTCTAGTCCAAGGATGCTGGAGGCTTGACAGAGAACATCTCTCCTGAGACTCCCTGCTCATTTGTGCCTAAGTTGATTGCTCTATACTCAACTATTGAAGCTTTATTAAAAAGCAAATCTGGGGGACTTTCAATATCTCTCTCTTCTCTCTATAGAGGTTGTTCTTAACCTCCTCTGTTCACCTCAGACTTCCTGCCCTGCCAACTTGTTGCTTACTTATCTCATGGACAGAAGAGAAGTGTTAGATGTCAACTTGCTTGGCTTCTGAATCTACAGCCACCCAAGTAGGCAGCGCCCACCTCTGTGCCTTTGCCCGAAGTGGAAGGTGGGCCAACCACTCAGCCCCACTTCGTTGTTCCCTGTTTTTCATGCTCTGGAACCCTCATCAGCTTCCCCTTCTTCTTTATCACCTACCATTTTTGCCACATTTTCCTTTCTTTCCATTTGCTCATTCTTATTTCTTCTTCTTAGTTGAGATATAATGCATATATCTCACAATTCTCCATTTTAAAATGACAATTCAGTAATAGTATAGTCACAGAATTAATTGGTTTTTGTCCACAGGTACTATAACCATGCTGTAATTCCAGAATATTTTCATCATCACAAAATATTTTCACCATTACCTTACCCATTTATAGTCACTCTCCATTCCCCTTTTTTCCTCTGCCTCTGAAAATCACTTATCTGCTTTCTGTCTCTACAAATTTGCCTTTTCTGGACATCTACAATAATAAAAGCATGATATGCTAATTAGACTGTACAGACAAACGACAGCCTCTTGCATGAATTTCATGCATTGAGCCTCTAGTTTTATATAAATGGAATCATACAATTTGTGGATTTTTGTGTCTGGCTTCTTTTAGTTAATATAATGTTTTTGTTAGTCTTTTTTTATTAAAACAATCTTAGTCAATGCAAAGTGGATACTTCTTATCCTCTTTTAGGCATCACTTTCTTCGGGGAATTTATGGGTATGGTGATTGTGAAAATATACACTCCTAATGTCTCTCCTTTTCTGGGTGTGTTGAAAATCCCTCCAATGTATTTCCATAGAACTGTGTGCTTATCCTTATATCCCCATCACACGGAATTATAATTGTCTGTTAACTTTATCTCCTCTGTTACATGTGAACTTGTCAGGGAGAGTACTAAAACTTTATTTCCTGTGGTATATCTCAGCATTACATGTATCTGATGCAATTTTTAAATTTTTCCTTGGAGGGGATAATGGAAATATTCATTGGTACACCTCTATTTGTTAGCTGATATTTAGTGGTCTAGGAGAGAAGACAGGATTTTTTAGCTTGTAGGTTTTGTTATCTAGAAAGGTAATTTTTTCTTTACTATTTTGTTAATCCAGTCTTCTCTAATTTGCCAAGAAGTTGGAAGCAAAGAACTGAGGATACCAGACAATATCACAATAAAGGGGAAACACCAGTGGCTTTAAAACAGAAATCTACTAGTCATTTTTACTTTGACTATTTTGAAAAGCCTAACTGGTTGAGAACTGATTGTCCTTTAAAGAAAATACTACCACTTATGTATTCTAGACTAAAACAATTGTAAATGTAAATAGATGTGCAGGAGACTATCATGAAATTTGTAGACCTTCAAAACTAATGCTCAATTTTGATGCTGAAGTATCAGAAATCTGAGATTCATTAGCGTCAGGGTTGAGCAGATAGGGATCAGTGCTGGGGTTAAAAGCTGGAAGTAGAATTAACTTAATTAAAGACTTTTAAAAAAGTTTGAATTAAAAAGTGCAATTTGAAGTTTGACTCATACTAAATTATAAAGCCCTGTGCATAAGTACAAACTGAATTAGTTCTTTTGAGAATTTGTCTCCTAAAATCTATTTCTTTAAAATTATTATCTTAAGTAATTTTATCTCCAGTTGTTATTTATGATCCCATAAAGATTCTTTTTATTTTAGTGTTTTAGGTTATTCTTAGTTGAAATGAGGTTATCCTTGGATTAGATAGCCATTCCTTTATGTGATAGTGTTTTCAGTGTATTATTGGAGAGTTTATCTAGCTTCTTTAATATGGTTTTTGTATGCTTCTGGAATGAAGAGGAAATGGAGGAGGGAAAGAGAGAGGGAGCAACAAATGTAAGCTGGCCCCAGATCCGTGAGATAGTATCAAATGAGGCCAAAATGAATTTGGCAGATGCTCTTCTCATATTTCCCACTTGAGCACACACATATTGTAACTTGGAATATCACTTGCATTTCTTTCATACTTAAAAGACTTCTTTTCAGCTTCAGTAATAAACTTTAACTTCAAATAGGAGCCAGGAATGAAGATTGAGCCTTTTTTTTTTTTTTAATGTCTAAATATACTTAGACTGTATATTTTGTTATTAAGGGGTGAATGGTCAATAATACACTGGATGCCTTTTAATTATAGAAATGAAAGTGTGGAGGGGCAAAGATAGTGAAAGGAATAGTATTTTTAGTGTCACGTAGATCTGAATTTGAATCCACATTTTATCACTGAACTAGAGACCCAGTGCCATCCTCTTTATTGTACCTTTTCTCTTCAATTAGCTCACTAGTGCCTAATTCTATTTAAATACTTTAAAATGACTACTCTCTATATTGGCCTAATAAATGTGTTTCCTGGTAAGATCTTCTGGTATAAGGAGGACCTACAGCTGTCCTAAAAAAACAGTTTTCAGTTGATTTGGAATAGGAATTTTTGTTTTCTTTCAATTTGTATTTACTGAGCTGCAGAGTGGGAGGAGCCCATGGGCTTTCCTATCTCTTCTGTAGCTTCCCCTTCTACTCTAATAAAGTTTACTGCTCTCTTGAAATCTGTGTAATCTACCCTATTTCCACATTTTTTTTGTTTTATTATTTTGTTTCTCAGAACTACCCTTTTTATATTTTCCAGTTTTTCCTTTTAAAAAAAAATATATATATTATTGATTTTTTTACAGAGAGGAAGGGAGAAGGATAGAGAGTGAGAAACATCGATGAGAGAGAGACATCGACCAGCTGCCTCCTGCACACTCCCCACTGGGGGAGTTCCCACAACCAAGGTACATGCTCTTGACTGGAATCGAACCTGTGACCCTTGAGTCTGCAGGCTGATGCTCTATCCACTGAGCCAAACCAGTTTTGACTCCAGTTTTCCCTTTTCAAGAGAGAGCCCATATTTCCTTATATCTACATCTTATTCAAATATGTTTCAGGAATGTTTTAAAAAGTTCCTTTAAGTTTTAAAATACCCCTTTGTGCTTTAGCAAGTGGCATATCGTTTCCTGCTTCAGTTTTGGCCTTAGTCTGACAAGCCAGGGCTGACATAGGGGTGAAAAGTTCACTCTCCGGAAGTGCCACTTAGGGCGGAATCACATGAGGAGGAACAGCCTCCGACTGGTGGGAAGCCCCTGTGGATGTGTTTCTTGGTGAAGGCAGCACAGAGGGTCTTTTTCTCAGTTCTCCTTCATGTGCTTGAATTTTTAATGAGTGTGTGGCACTATTATTATTTCAGAAACTCACTATAATGCCCTTATTATTGCCTCGATAGTGGTTTAAAATGGAAAGTCGTAACCCATTGATAGGTTATACAATCACCTTTATAAATAGAGACCAACATTTTTTAAAAAAGGAAAGAGAAAATGTAAATAGTGCATTGTATGAAGTAAGAGTGTATTGTTTTGTAAAACTTCTGTTTGATGTTACATAAATGGAAGATCATAGAAATATGAATTTCCATAGGTCCCTATTTGTGTTTGTGTGTGTGTGTTGGCTTCAGACTCTCCCTTTTACCCACTGGTCACTCGGGAACCTAATTTTCAGAGTATATGCACTTTTAGTGAATATGTTCTTATAAAATCTATGGTTTCATATTTTGGATTTATTGTACCGGCATTTTAACTTATGTGTATTATATCTCCTCTTTTGTTTTTATTTTCTCTACCCAGGATTATATTTTGAGGCCTATGAATATTGCTATATATGCATCTACTTCATTGCATCCAACTGCTCATGGTCTGTTACAGTGTGCCTAGAACATAATTTACTTATGTTCTCTGCCATGGAAGGACTTCCACATTGTCTCAGCACAAGCAAGGCTGCTGTGAACAACCTAGACATGCCCCCTTTTGGAAAATGCTGAAGGACATATATTTAGGCTCTAGATCAACAGAGTTGCTGGGCTGTAGAGCATGTGCATACAGCTCAGATACCATAAACAGTCTGATTTCAGAAGTCCTGTCAGATTACCGCCAGAAGGATTCACCGAGTCACACCCTCTCTCCCCAGTAGTATGAGTGTTTATATACAACCTCTTGCTGATATTTGGCATTAAGTTTTCTAATTTTTCTCATTCCTGTCTAATGGGTATAAAATAATATATATATTTTTAGTTTTATTTTACTTTTATCTGACTACTGATGAATCTGGTCAGCTTTTTATATGCTTGCTGTCTTTTGGATTTTTTCCTTCTGTAAATTCCCCTTCAAATTCATTGCATATTTGTCCATTGGAAGTGTATTTACTTATTTTTATTGATTTACAGAAGTTCTTTGAATATTCTAGATAGTTGCCAACTGGT